TTCGGACGAGGATGCTGAAAGAATATGGATGGAGTCTGCTGGTGGTCCAAAATGGGGGAAGGTATACGATCTTCCTATTAAAAAGTTTCATCGATATAAGTGTGGAATGCAAGAAATAGGGACTTCCTTGCAAGGCGAGCAACTTGATGGGGAGAGCCTCTCTGCTATGCGGGAGACTGTGACAAAGCTCACATCCGAGCTAGAATCGGCCAAGGAAAGAGAAAGGGTTAGAGATGCTCAATTCCTTGGCATGCAAGCTTAGATCAGAACTCTCCTATCTACTGGAGCTTTTTCGTTGCCCCGGTTTCGTGAGTCATCGCGAGAGGCTCGACTTGAACGTGAGCGTTCCTTTCGTCCTCCCCATGATCGTTCCTCCCGTCCTCCTCATGGTCATTCTTCATGTCCTCCACAAGACCCTTCTTGATACCGTCTTTTAGATGAAAGTTCATCAGACGGTGACGATGAATTTGTACAAAACACTCCTTGACTTGTATATACTTTGAACTAGACAAATAGAACTGGTTCTGAACTAGTTGTAATAAGTATTAACTTGGTTTTGGATTTTTTAGTTCTATTGAACTTTAATTTATTAGTTTTAATGTATTTATTGAATTGTTTTGTTGTTGGCATAAAATGCCTGTTTAGGAATTTTGGTATGCTGGCAGGTGGTATAGCTACCAAAACAGACATTTTATGCCAAAATTAAAACCCAAAAAACTGACCAAATTTGGTTGGCATTTAATTAAAAAACATTTCTTCTGATTAGCGACCAAAGTTGGTTGCTTAATCTTAAAAAAAATTAATAATTACCGACCAAAGTTGGTTGGTTAATGAACAAGGATTATCCAGATTTCACATTTACCGACTAATTTTGGTTGCTAATTCTTAAATTTTAATTTTAAAAAAAATATATATTTTAATTTACCGACCAACTTTAGTCGCTAATCTTTAAATTTTAATAATTAATAATATAACGTAATTTACATACACCGACCAACTTTGTTCGGTAAAATTAAATTATTAAAATATGTTACCGACCAAAGTTGGTCGGTATGTGCTTTAAATTGCACAGTTGGTCCTTTTACCTGTGCGACCAACTTTGGTCGGTAATTTGCGACCAACTAAGCGACCACTAAAATAGCGACCAAGCCTGGTTGGACGGGTTTTGGTCGGTATTTTGCATAAACAGGCCAACGTTGGTCGCTTTTGTTGTCGCTAAAATCTGAATTTCTAGTAGTGGGAAGTTCTGCGGCCGCACAATTCCATGTGCGGTCCGCAGAATTCTTCAGTTGGCTGGAGTTTGGCTTCTGCGGCCGTAGATTTCTAGATTGCGGTTGTGAAACATCTTCTGCGACTGCATAATTCTTGCAGGGCCCACACTTCAGCAAGGTTTCAAGACCTGGTCTTTTGCACACTCTATGAACTTGGAACCATTTGTCAGTGCAGACCCTGTTCTTCATGTGTGGTCCGCACATTGGCTAAGTCCTGTTGGGTTCTTTCACTTGTTTTACGATCACATATGGAATTTTGCAGTCCGCACTTTCTTTTGCGGACCGCACTTCTTTGATTTTGCGCCCTTTATTGCCTTGTGATTCAGAATACTCTTTTTGAGTTGGATTTCATCATGAGAGACCAAACTTCCAACATTCCTGCAATTTGTATATTTTCATTAGTTTTGGGAGCATAATTCAATTCTATTGGACTAAAACAAAAGAATAAAAGGTCTAATAAGTAGTCAAAATTCCCACTTATCAACTCCCCCAAACTTAAGTCTTTGCTTGTCCTCAAGCAAATAAATTAGTTCTCACCTCCTAGAGTTAAGGGTCATTTCAGTGAGTCAAAGGTGATCCATTCACACATCACTTGGGACCAATAATTACCCACACTACTCATGCATTATCGATAAAGTGACAAGTCAAATATTCATGCACATATAGTTCTAATATGATATTTGAGCTTCAAGAATTGACTTTACTCATCAGTGACTCTTGTTCTATCATGTAGGTCATGGTGGAATACAAACTCTTCCTCCTCTACTTTCCATTTTCCAAGCTCACTTAAGAAATTAGCACTCAATCTTAGGATTCATGAAAGGTTCACTCGTCTCTCACAAAAGAATGTTACAAGTATGGCTTCAAGTACCATCGGCTTGCCCCTTACGTTGATCGCCACTAATATAAGTTCACTCGGTTTGATATCAAGTAGGACTTCTTTCGGGTTGTAATGAAGACTTTTGGATTAGGGTAGGATACCATATGGGTAAGTGGTTACACATTTACTTAAGCACTCCACACTTTCATTTCTCGGTTCAAATTGCCAATTCTTAGAGGCATTTCTTTTCATTAGAGATTAGAGAGACTTAACATCACTCTTTCTTGTTTATTTTATTCTTTTTTTCTCCCTTTTTGATTTCTCAATGCTTGGTATCATTACCTCTTTTTGAATCCATCAACCCTTCCACTTATTCATGTTTTGTATTTTTTTTTGGTTCTTTTCTTTTCTTGATTTTTTTCCTTCATAAAGATCATTTCTTTTCTCTTTTTGTGCCTTGATACCTTTTTCAAATTCGTCATCTCTCCCCCAAACTTATGGTTTAAGCCATTTATTTCACAAGAGTGTTAAGGAAAGTTTGAGTGCTAAGAGAGAATCACGACAAAACAGGTAAAAGCTTATAAAATGGTTACTAAATAGGAAAGGCTAGAGGCTCAAAGGGGTTGACTAGGGATAAAGACATTGGCTGGCAATAGAAAGATCAAATAGGTCGAGGAAAGCCTACAATCACTTCTCAAACCAAGCAAAACTTAGGATTTCGCCTTGAAACACATTTGGGGCAAGTTCTAGACCCTTTGCACGGATACTTAGACTAGCAACAATTCATCCCAACCCTCACGCAACTAGATTTTAAAAGAGGATATAGTCGAGAGCCTACAACGACCACATTCAAGTTTAACTAAACCAGTCGATGATTACCAAAGTCAACTCAAAAGTCCCAAAGTCACTAACTAGAGCTATTTCTTTCAAAAACCTTGTCTCTAACCATAAGCACGTAGTTAAATGTATTAGTACCAATTGAAGCATGGTTGACTCTTAGAGCATGACTTGATTAGTTTTTTTATTCATTACTACTACTATAATTACCTAAATACAAAAACAAACTCATTCCCTTAAGAAGGTTTTCACGCCATCCGTCGCTGGGACGAGTCACCCGGTTCACACAACAACTACCTTTGGAAAGAAATATGGCGTTAAGAAAACCAAAGGCTTATTATCTACTAAAGCATAAAAAGAAACTACTTAACAAAACTAGAACTAATATAGAAAAGATAAAGAAGCTAATAATAAAAAAACAAAGATAAAGAAGCTAATGAGCAAAAACTACTAAATATAGAATGAATATATACACAATAAGAGAGAAAAGATAGATAAATACAAATAAGAAAAGAGAGACTATCATCAAATTATTACAGACTAAATGTATCAAAGTGTACAAATGTGTCAAATAAACTCCACCCTTTCCCCCCAAATAAAAGTAAGCATTGTCCCTAATGCTTAGTAAAATAAGAGTAACAGAGGAGAGGGTGAAGAAAACATCTCCAGCAATGTCATCTCCCTCAGGATAAACCAACTGGATCTCATCATCGTCAAATCTAGGTGTGGCTAGGTTGGCGAACATCTCACGCACTGCCTCAGCAGAGTCAGCAACAAGGTCTGGCTCATCAGACTGGCCAGCTGGTGCTACCGGTGCAAATAGTTCTGAAGGATCTGGGGCAGACTGGTGTGGGTCAAGCAACATGTAAAAGGGAAGGTCTCCAGCTGTAGCAAGTCTAGTCACCTCCCTCTAGAGCTTGTCCACTGATTTCTTGCTGACCTGGGACATCCTCATTTTCTTCACTTCCTTTCCTAGCTCTTCAATAACTAACCCATGTTGTACTAAGGTGTCCATGATAGTCTTCTGATTCTCCAAAATCTTTTTCAGTGTCTCTTCAATGTCAGAAGGAACCTGTGATTCCTGTGAGGTGGACTACGCTGCAATAGTAGTGGAAAGGTCAGACAACTTTGTAGTAGCTATCTGCATCTAGTTGTTGAGACTCGCCAATATTTGAGAGACTCACAAAAAAGATAGTTGCAGTGGGCATGGGCACTGGTCTCGGAGCTGTAGTAGGAACTGTGGATGATGGTGGAGGCATAGAAGTGGTACTAGTGGAAGGCTCAGCAGAAGTGGATGGAAGATCAACCACCTCAGAGGCTACAAATGTTGGCTCATCAGACTAGCCTGCGGTGGTAGAAGGCTGAACTTTTTTTTTGGGTTTCTCGCATCCATCAGAGAGTACCAGTCGAAGGTCTTCTTCGCATTCACCTTGGTCTCAAAGTCCCTCAGTTGTATCTTTGCATCAATGAGATATTCTGTAATAGTGTTGGGATAGGGGTAGGCCGAGTTGTCCTACCGTGCAATCACTAAAATATTGGCTGATATCATGACACCCATATTGATTGGGTAATCGGCCATGATGGAGGCCACAAGAACTACTCAAGGAAGAGGAAGGTGAGTCACATTCTTGCATGGATCTAACCCACTACAAACAAAGGTCTGCCACCCTTTTGCCTCAAAACTGAGAGTGCTCCAGTGGATGGGAACCCCAATGGTAATCCATGGTGGTGGTGGGCTTGGTGGTACCAGAATCTCAACTAGCTAAGGATGGACTTCCTTCTTCAGTACACATTTCTCCAAATACTCTGTCGGGTCAACATCCTCGAAGCCCAAGTACTTGTTGAGTGTATGATGATTAAACCTCAGCTTGAGGTTGCGTACTTTAGTCACCTTCATCCATTTCTTTATATGAGCTACATTTGCATAAAATTGATGGACGAGGTATTCTTTGGCATCTTCTACACTCTAGGTGAACCACATCCACATTTTCGTGCCCTGAATTGTCTTAATATGGCTGGGTTGTACTTCTACATATCTCTCAACAAAAACTTTCACTTAAGAGTTAGAGACCTCACAGGCCACCACATACAAAAGCTGGTGAAGGTGGCCAGGATGACAAAGCAATCCTCCCAAACCTCTTTCTTCTTTGATCTTTCAAGTCCTGAAGTTGTGGCATCACCCCCTCTGCCATCATTAGGGATATCATGTGTGACCTGTGCCTCAGGGACTGGTGTAGCCGATGATCCCCTACCTCAGGGATGGCTTGTCCACGAGCTGGTATCTCCCCTGCAGCCTTGGTTGTGTGGCCGGTTGCTCCTCTTGAATAGAGGTTGAGTTGCCCTATGAGACTTCCCTAAATGGGACATATGAGCTAGATTCGGAGAGGTCTGCACCTCTCCCTTTGTATGTTGGTACTTTCTTTCTTATTGTCTTTGGCTGGCCAAGGGGCAAGGCACTTTTCCCTCGTCCCCGAGAAGATTCGCCTCTCCTTTTTGACGTGTCACCTCATCCTTTTGATCGACCAATTGTCTGTATTAAGGAGAATATATTGTTAGTTGCAATTCGATATTCAAACACATATATGAGACATGTAAGTAAAGGAGAAACCATAAGATATAATGGGGTTGTACATTAAGTCATGCATGCAGGGAAAAGGATTTGTAGTCTACACTATTTCAGTTACGGCCGCAGATGAAGACTCGTGGTCCGCACATTAGTGATTGTAGCTGCACTTTTGAGGCTAAAAAATGCTAACTCTCTGATGACAGAGGATTGACTAATCTGTGGCCGTGAGAGGATTTGCGGTCCGCAGAATTTGAATTGCGGCCGCACATTAAAGTCTCAAAGTGAGCATTCTCTGATTATAGAGAATGGGCTGATCTGCGGTCTCAAAGGAAATTATGTGGTTCACACATTTTAACTTACGCCCACAGATTTTCACTTCACCGAGTTGCCCAAATTCAACATTTGTGGACCACACAAATTCAAGTGTGTCCGCAAATTTTAAAAGTTACGTACAGACCAAATTTTTCTACTTAGGTTTTTCAATTTATCGCACAATTAGACATGGTAATATTGTAAAAACATGAAATTGTACTGACCCAACCCCATTTGAGCATGTATCAAGTTTACCCATTTCAGACCTACCCCACATGGACACACAATTGAACTCTAATAATAAATGGCCTAAGAACTAAAAGTCCAAAAATTATGCTAACACAAACAATTTAACATGAAATTGAAGCATACCATATAGAATGAGTGTAATGAGTGAATGATCAAGGTGGTGGTGTGTGAAGACAGTTAGAAATCTCCAAGAAAATTCAATAGAGCAAAGTGTTATGTTCAAAGAGGGAAAAAGTGTAAAATAGGCCATGTTCTTATATTTATACCAACTGTTTGATAAGGGGAAGGAGGACGAGTGCAGCTGTACATTTTCATATGCATTCCGCACTCTTTCACCTCGGGGCATTGTCTCAGAACTTCATCTGTGGTCTGCACATTTTCAGGTGCGGTCGCATATTTCACGTGCGGTTGCAGATCGACCTCCGTATTGAAAAGCTTAAACTTCAAAGAGTTGGTATTTTTGGCATTTCAATTCTGCAGTCTGCAACATAAATGTGCGGCTGCAATGCTCATATGCTATGGCATCTAAAAATGTGTGGTCCGCACTTTTTTGAACACTTAGCCATACTTTCGTCCTCAGTTCCTGTAAGTCACACTCATCCCTATAGCACACTTCAAATCAAGTTAGAACACAATTAACACCTAACTACAAAAGGAAAAGGGAAAAAACATGGGTTGCTTTCCAAGAAGCGCCTGATTTAATGTCGCGACACGACGCAGAATACCCTCAAGTGAAATGAATGACTACCACCACGTGGCCATTTACAACCTTTCCAAGTAGGGCTTCACCTGGTGACCATTGACTCAGAATACTTTATTTTTTTTGTTCTTTAAGTCTAATACACCAAATCACACCCACAAGTTCAAAAGGACCGCTCCATTTAGATTTTAGCTTCCAGGAAACATCCTTAACCTTGAGTTAAACAACAATACGAGATCGCCCACCTTGAACTCTTTGTTCCAAATATATTTTTCATGAAGGTATTTCATCTTTTCTTTGTACAAGGATGAATTCGCATAAGCATGGTACCAGAACTCATCCAATTCATTCAAATGTGCAACCCTCAAGTTAGCGGCTACATCCCACATGGCCTTGTGCTCTAGTTCTTTATGACAACTTCTTTAGAGCCCCCATGGCCTTGTGCTCTAGTTCCACCGAAATATGACAAGCTTTTTCGAACACCAACCGGTATGGTGACATTCCGCTAGGAGTTTTGTAAGTTGTCCGATAATCCCATAATGCATCATCGAGCTTCTTGGACCAATCCATCTGATTAGCATTCACCGTTTTCTACAAGATACTCTTAATCTCCTAGTTAGAGACTTCCACTTGCCCACTAGCTTATGGGTGATAGGGAGTCGTGACTTTGTAAGCAACACCATACTTTCTAAGTAAAGTGTCGAAAGCCTTGTTGCAAAAATATGACCCCCCCATCACTTATAATTGCATGTGGAGTACTAAACTTTGTGAAAATATTCTTCTTCAAGAAAGCTACCACACTTCTCGCCTCATTGTTGGGTAATGCAACAGCCTCAACCCATTTGGACACATAATCCACTGCGACCAAGATGTAGGTGTTTCCACAAGAACTCACAAAAAGGGCCCATGAAGTCAATACCCCCACACATCAAAAATATCAATCTCCAAAATGGTTGTGAGAGGCATTTCATTATTCTTTGATATTCCACCGGCCCGTTGACATTCATCACATCTTTTCACTAACTCAATAACATCTTTGTAAAGAGTAGGCCAATAGAACCCGCAACTAAGCACATTGGCCGTTGTTCTTACTCCACCATGATGACCACCATATGGAGAAGAATGGCAAGCCCCAAGAATTTCACCATGATCTTATTCCGGTACACATGTTCTAATCACCCCATTCGTACAAATCCAGAAAAGGTATGGTTCATACCAATAATAATCTTGACAATCCCGTTTGAGCTTCTTCCTTTGTTTTGAAGAGAACTTATCCGGAATGATTCCACACACAAGAAAATTTGCTAAATCCACGAATCATTGCACCTCTTTCATTGAAATAGCCAAGAGTTGCTCATCGGGGAAGGAGTCATTGATTTCTAGGCTATCATGCGGCCTCCCCTCCTCCTCCTCCAATCGAGACAAGTGGTCTGTCACTTGGTTTTCATTACTTTTCCTATTTTGGATGTCAATATCAAATTCTTTCAACAAGAACAACCTTCTCTTCAACCGAGCTTTGGAGTCCTTTTTGCTCATAAGGTAAAGAGGATCCACATGATCTGTGTGGACAATGACTATTGCACCGATCAAGTACGTGCGAAACTTCTCAATTGAAAACACAATAGCAAGGAGCTCATTCTCCGTAACAGTATAGTTGACTTGGGCACTATTCATGGTCTTACTAACATAGTAAACCGAATGAAAGATTTTGTTGGTGCGTTGCCCCAAAATATCCCCAACCACTACGTTATTTGCATCACACATGAGTTCAAAAGGGACACTCCAATTTGGAGCAGTGATGATGGGGGTGGTTGTCAACTTGAGCTTCAATAATTCAAAAGCTCTCATGCAATCATCATTGAAGTGAAACTTAGCATTCTTCACAAGAATCTTGCACAACGGGTTCACCACCTTAGATAAATCTTTGATGAAGCGCCGGTAAAAATCCCCGTGGTGTAAGAAACTCCACATACCCTTCACTGAAGTTGGAGGTGGAAGCTTAGAAATCACCTCAATCTTTGCCTTGTCAACTTCAGTTCCATTCCTTGAGATTTTGTGGCCAAGGACAATACCTTTCTCGACCATGAAATGGCATTTCTCCCAATTGAGTACCAAATTTGTTTCTTCACATCTAGCCAACACTTTGTCCAAATTTGCAAGACAATCATCAAAAGAGTCTCCAAACACCGAGAAGTCATCCATGAAAACTTCAAGGTAGTCCTCTACCATGTCCGTGAAAATAGCCATCATACACCTTAGAAAAGTCACTGGTGCATTACACAAACCAAATGGCATCCACTTGAAAGTGAAAGTACCATAGGGACATATAAAGGTTGTTTTCTCTTGATCTTCCGGAGCAATGCAAATTTGGTTATAGCATGAGTACCTATCAAGAAAGCAGTAGAAAGCACGACCAGCCAATCTATCGAGAATTTAATCTAAGAAAGGAAGTAGAAAGTGATCCTTCTTTGTGACTTTGTTGAGCTTTAGATAGTCCATACACACCCTCCAACCAGTCACCGTTCTTGTAGGAATCAACTCATTCTTGTCATTGGTGACCACCAACATGCCCCCCTTCTTATTATTGGTGACCACCGTCATGCCCCCTTTTTTAGACATATTAAACTGGAGAAGTCCACGAACTATTGGAGATGGGGTAGACAACCCCGACATCCAACCACTTGATAATCTCCTTCTCGACAACTTCTTGCATAGCCTCATTGAGTCTCCTTTGATTTTCAATAGATGGTTTGGCGCCATCTTCCAACTTGATCTTATGCATGCAAAAGGCATGGGTTATCTCCTGAATATCCGCCAAGGTCCACCCAATAGCTTTCTTCCTCTTTTGCAGCACCACTAAAATGGAATCTACCTGCACGTTAGTCAAACAAGAGGAAAGAATAACCGGTAAAGTAGAACAAAGACAAAAAAATTCATACCAAAGATGTGGAGGCAGTGGCTTCAACTCCAATGTAGGAGGCTCTTCAATATAAGGCTTTGTTGGAGGAGTTTTCCTATTTTCAAAATACAAGGACAATTTTCGGGGTACATAGTTGTACGACCCCATTCCTTGCAAAGAATTCATACATTCCATGAAGCAATCCAACTCGTCATCATCAAAGTTGAGCAAGAAGGCCTCCAACATATTACCAACATTGATTGTAGCACTTGTTTCTTCAACAATAACATCAGTCATCAAGTGCACAAAAGAACACACCTCATTGCTATTTGGTTGTCGCATGGACTTACACACATGGAATACTACTCTTTCATCACCAACCCGGAAAGTAAGTTCTCCGGCTTCAACATCATAAAGAGCCTTACCCGTAGAAAGAAAAGGTCTCCCAAGATAATCGGTACTTCATAATCAACCTTAAAATCTAGAATGACAAAATCTGCCAGAAGAATGAATTTATCAACACGAACCAAAATATTTTAATCACTCCCAAAGACCTCTTCATGGTACGGTTGGCCATTTACAATCTCATTGAGGTGGGTATTGGTTGCCCAATTCCCAAAGTCTTGAAAACCGAGTTGGGCATCAAATTGATACTTGCCCCAAGATCACAGAGAGATTTAGCAAACTCAGAACTTTCAATTATACAGGGAATTGTGTAAGCATCGGTATCCTCCATGTTAGGAGCCAATGAATGCATAGTTTCACTCACTTGATGAGTGACTTTGATGGTCTCAAAGTTCATTGACCTCTTCTTTGTCACAAGATCATTCATAAATTTTGCATAATCGGTCATTTGTTCCAAAGCTTCAACTAATGACACATTGATTGAGAGACTCTTCATTATTTGAATAAACTTATTGAATTGATTCTCACCATTTTTATTGGCAAGTCATTGAGGGTATGGAGGTGGAGGCTTAGTCAATGGTGCCTTAGCCTTTTGCACTACTGGATTTGGTATGTCAATAATGTGTTCCCTAGATGGGTTCACCTCCTCTTGAGTCTCTTCCACACTATCATCATTATCAATTCGAACTTCATCATTAGGTTGCACTACATTGTTCGGGATCTCTTCTTCTTGAATCACTTTATCATCATCAACAAGTTGCCTTCTACTTGAGGTGGGTGCATTCCCGCCTATTCCACTTCTTGTGATAACTGCCATGGAATGCCTCATGTTGTTACCACCCTTTGGGTTTACCACCGTGTCACTTGGTAGTGCCCCCTTAGGACGAGAATTTAAGGCTTGAGAGGTTTTCCCCATTTAAACTTCTAGGTTGCGGATTGATGTGTTGTGTAAGGCAAGCTGGGCATCCGAATCAACATTCTTTTCCATTATTTGTTTGAACATATTTTCAATACGCCCCATCTCATTGTTTGAAGAACTTGGACCATGGGAAGGATAATGAGGTGGGTAGCTCAGTTGTTTGTACATCGAGGGCCTTTGAAAACCAGACCCCTGGTTACCTTGATTGTTGTTCCATCCGCCTTGACTGTTAACCTCCATTCCTTGGTTATTTACACTCCAATTTCCTTGATTTTTGTTGTTATGCCAATTTTCGTGATTTTTAGAATTCCAATTGCCTTGATTATTTTGAGGTCGCCATTGTGGTTGGTTGGGGCCTTGGAAGTTTTTCTTTGCCCTTGAAAATTATTCACTTATTGCGCCTCCTTTTCTTGTTCATTATAAGAATCATATTCCTCAAAACTACCATCTTCTTGCACATAGTTCTCCACTCGATTTTGCACTTGTGGACCCTTGATCCTCCTCTTGTTCACCATTATTTTCACTCCTTCCATAGTATTGACTTGCTTGGGATTTTGCACTTGATTTAGTTGGGCCTTTTCTAGTTGATTCATAGTAGTTGTTAATTCGGAAATGGCTTGCCCATGGTCTTGCAATTCTTTATGAAGATGGATCATATTCGAGTCACCTTTTGGAACATTGGCTCGGGATTGCCAAGCCGATGATGTTTCCGCCGTCTCATCCAAAATCTCACATGCCTTCGCATAAGGCGTAGTCATAAAGTTTCCACTAGCTAGTTGATTCACTATACATTGGTTGGTTGTGTTAATCCCACACTAGAAGGTTTGTTGAATCATGTCCGTCGTCATATCGTTGTTGGACATTCATTGACCATAGTTCTATAGCGTTCCCATATCTCGTGTAGTGGTTCATTCATCTCTTGCTTGAATACTAAAATCTCATCTCGAAGTGTAGCTATGTGCTCGGGAGAGAAGAACTTAGAAATGAAATTTTTCGCTAATCCATCGCAAGTGTTAATTGAATGGTTCAGCAATCGTTCCAACCAATCTAAAGCTTTCCCCCATAGAGAGGATGGAAAAATTCTTAGCCTCAATGCATCCTCGGAAATATTTGTTTGATTGCTCCCCTAACAAGTGTCTACAAACCCCTTCAAATGTTTATAAGCATTTTGTGTTGGAGAACCAGTGAAGAATCCTCATTGCTCAAGCAAAGTGAGTATCACATTGGTGATTTGGAAGTTGCCCGCCCTAATATGGGGAGGGACTATTGCACTAGCATAACCTTCTTTTGGAAATATCTAGTATGAAGTCGCTCGTGGTGGAGGTGGGGGTGGAACATGCACATTGTCATGAGGTAGCGGGCCTCTCCGATTGGCTTGTGGCTCATGAGGTACCTCCTATAATTGCTCGTCTTCCGCATCCAAATCCCCCACATGAAAATTTTCGAGCTCATTATTCGCCATGGTTGTATCTAAGATTTCTCACACAAGTTAGTAACATGAAAAAAAAAAGAAGATACTCCAAAAACAAACACAAATATATAGCTAATACCATTTAACTCCCCAAAAACGGCGTCGAAAATTGAACCACATCTAATCCGCACTCAATATTCTTTTTTTTTTGCTTGTTTAAGAGTTTTTTCACCGTGACTCGTTCTCTTTTGTCAGGATTTGCCATTCGTGGTGTTAATCCTGCTTCTGTTTTGTTTACAAAACTTACGATGAGTCTTGCTCAAGAAAGGATTTTGAGCTCTTCTTCAAAGAGAAAAGTTGATGGAACCCGTGGCTCAGAGGCAGAAGAAGAACTAGAGGAAGGTTCTTTAATCAGTAGAACTCGTGTCAGGAGGCGCATTATTTCAGATGATGAAGCCACACCTCCTCCAAGTTCAGTTCATGTTAATGAGCCTGAAGATGCTACTTTAGTGAGTTTTGATGATGGGATGAATGCTCCTCCTAGTGAATCTACTGATCAACTGTTTTCCCATGGTTTTAATAGTGGTGATTTTGGTCTTGTTTATGAGGAATTACCCCTTGTTTCTCTTCCAGTGACAATCCCCGTCTGTTTTTAGTCTATTGTTCCTATTACCATTGCTCCTGCTACTCCCATGGTTGCATTTACTTCCTCAACCACACCTTTCGCTACTACTTCCCATGTTGAAGTTGGTGCTTCTAATAGCAATAGAGTGATGAAAAAGGTTACCGTAGAAGTCCCTAAAGATGGTAATCTGTCAAAAATATCTGGTCAAGCCGATGTGTGATTAAAATATTTAATTGGCCCAGTTGAGAAGTCTAAGTTAGAAAGCCACAGCTCCTTGACGTGGATGAATGATATTGTTCATTCATCTTTGAAGGTTCAAGTTTTAGCTTTTCCCTTTCCTTTTCCTTGTGGTTATTTACTTTTGTTTGACAACCACTTCTTTCTTTTCGTAAATCAACTTGATAGGCACGGAGCG